TCGGATGTTTTTACGTTAAAGTTAATGATACAGTAAGTCAACTCGGGATTGTAAAAATAGGTGTGCCTCAAGGTACCGTTCTTGGTCCTATAATATTTCTGATATATGTAAATTCTCTTTTGTCATTAGTAACGAGCGCAACTATTGTATCCTGCGCGGACGACACAGTAGTATTTTTTTGTGAAAACTCTTGGACGGAAACTAAAATGGCTGTACAACAAGGTCTTAAAAAAATTACGATGTGGCTAAATAGGTACCAACAGAAATAAATGGATCAGATTTTACTACTTTTACTAGTATAAAAATCACTGGTATGCAAGATGAAATCAAAGAAACAAACGAAGTCAAGTACTGGGGTATAATAATTGATACAAATCTAAAATGGGGTAACCATATAGATTTATCTATCGAAAAATTTTATCAACTATGAGAATTCCTTTCAAGAAAATTATTACTGATATACAAGTCTCTAGCCGAATCACTTTTTCGTTGATATCTCTATATGGGGAGGAACGTACAGGAATTCATTACAGAAACCACATATTAAAAATTATACTTAAAAAACAAAAAGATATTACACAAATCTGATATATTCTGGATGTATGAAATATCCGAATATTATGTTTTCAAAGTTTGTGTGTATACACTTTCAAAAACAAATTCAAGAATAATATACCTTCTGTATATCAAACCCGTAGTGTTGCTAATGAGTTCTTATCAACGGAAAGATTCAATAAAAATATTTGTCATAGATTCTTCATTTATACTTTGCCCAAAGCATGCAATCTGTTAACAAGAGAGATAGGCTTATCACTAAACTTAAACGTTTTTGTTAAAATTTGAGAGTAAAAAAATAATTAAATTTTATAGTGCTCGTCCATGTAAAAAAAAATGTTTACTAAATATTAAATTTGTGTTAAACATTTATGGAGTTACACAATACAAACTAAATATTACACAAAACCACATATTAAAAATTATACTTAAAAAACAAAAAGATATCACACAAATCTGATATATTATGAAGATGTATGCAATATCCTAACATTATGTTTTCAAAGTTTGTGTATACAGTGAGCACCATAAGTCTTACCCCCTATCTAACTCATTACTGGAGTCTTGTTAGGAAAATTGCCAAGACAGGTCGATTTTTGATTTCTACATTGTACATTTTTGTATGATTAGTTTACCCTTAATTTCATCCCTTACTGGAGGGGAGCAACCCTTTCGAAAAATTTAAATGGCATGGGGTGGTGAGTGATAGCTCATTTGAAAGGGGGTTTTATTCTCAATTCAACCGTGCAAAAAAAATTTAAATTTGCTTCATTACGTGTTGATTTATTAATGTTTAAAAATAACAAAACCTCACAAAATAGGAAAGCAACTAAACTAACAGTGACCTTCTAATGGCAAAAAGTCTTACTTTACGTCTGAACCAAAACCGAAATCATGCAGGGCCGAATTTTAATTCTAAGGATAAGTTCGCTACGTTCATTTCCGTTATTCTGAAACAACAATTATTCGAGAATTAGTGAAGCAAATTTCAAAATTTTTTACACGGTTGAACAGAAAATAAAACTCTTTCAAATGAGCTATCACTCACCACCCCATGCCATTTAAATTTTTCGAAAGGGTTGCTCCCCTCCAGTAATGGATGAAATTAAGGGTTAACTATTCATACAAAAATGTACATTGCAGAAAACAAAAATCGACGTGTCTCGACGATTTTCCTAACAAGACTCCAGTAATGAGTTAGATAGGGGGGGTAAGACTTATGGTGCTCACTGTATATACTTTCAAAAACAACTTCAAGAATAATATACCTTCTGTATATCAAACCCGTAGTGTTGCTAATGATTTCTTATCAACGGAAAGATTCAATAAAAATATTTGTCATAGATTCTTTATTTATACTTTGCCCAAAGCATGCAATCTGTTAGTAAGAGAGATTAGGCTTATCACTAAACTTAAACATTTTTGTTAAAATTTGAGAATAAAAAAATAATTAAATTTTATAGTGCTCGTTCATGTAAAAAAAAATGTTTACTAAATATTAAATTTGTGTTAAAAATTTATGGAGTTACACAATACAAACTAAATATTACACAAAACCACATATTAAAAATTATACTTAAAAAACAAAAAAGGTATTACACAAATCTGATATATTCTGAAGATGTATGCAATATCCGAACATTATGTTTTCAAAGTTTGTGTATATATACTTTCAAAAACAACTTCAAGAATAATATACGTTCTGTATATCAAACCCGTAGTGTTGCTAATGAGTTCTTATCAACGGAAAGATTCAATAAAAATATTTGTCATAGATTCTTTATTTATACTTTGCCCAAAGCATGCAATCTGTTAGTAAGAGAGATTAGGCTTATCACTAAACTTAAACATTTTTGTTAAAATTTGAGAATAAAAAAATAATTAAATTTTATAGTGCTCGTTCATGTAAAAAAAATGTTTACTAAATATTAAATTTGTGTTAAAAATTTATGGAGTTACACAACACAAACTAAATATTACACAAAACCACATATTAAAAATCATACTTAAAAAACAAAAAAGATATTACACAAATCTGATATATTCTGAAGATGTATGCAATATCCGAACATTATGTTTTCAAAGTTTGTGTATATATACTTTCAAAAACAACTTCAAGAATAATATACGTTCTGTATATCAAACCCGTAGTGTTGCTAATGAGTTCTTATCAACGGAAAGATTCAATAAAAATATTTGTCATAGATTCTTTATTTATACTTTGCCCAAAGCATGCAATTTGTTACCAAGAGAAATTAGGCTTATCACTAAACTTAAACGTTTTTGTTAAAATTTGAGAATAAAAAAATAATTAAATTTTATAGTTCTCGTTCATGTAATAAAAAATGTTTATTAAATATTAAATTTGTGTTAAAAATTTATGGAGTTACACAACACAAGTGTTCAATCACTCAGATGCACAACTCTATACTTTTTTATTATTAATATTATCATTTGCTTTTATACATATTATATTGTTGCGTAAAAACGAACCCTGTGCTTTGTTTACTCCTTGCCCGCGGTATGATGTCTAGCAGCGCTGGTAATATAGAGACAAACGGACCGCTTCGAGAAACTACCGGATTGATCCCTTTGCGTCGTATGAGTCATAGAAAGGCAGTTTTCGATCGTTCTGGAAAGCCTAGATAGTTCTCGTACAGAGTTGGCTTTGTATAAATAGCGTGAGTTGTCGACGGACGGGCAGATTGAATTTAAGTGTTGGACAGAAAAGACAAATTGTAATAAATAAATTGGAATTGTGAGTTAGTGCCTAAGTATTATATAAATTAATTAGTAGGTACGTCATAAATAAATTGTAAATAGTGTGTTTTAAATAAATAAATTAAATAAACGTAACAGTATTTTTAAATTGTTGTGATCGTGTTTTACTTATAATTTGAATTTGTATTAATAATAATAACAATAATAATTGTATATAATTGTATTCTGTAAACTAATAATAATAATTGTATCATTTTTTTTTGCAAAAAAGAAAATTGAATGGTAATATTTTTTTCTTTTTCTCATACATATTGTATCTATTTTTTTGTAGAATCGATAATCATTTCTATTTTTATTTTGTATAAATTTAGGAAATAAACCATAAATTTAAATAAAACTATATGAAATCAATTTAATTACGAGTATTAACACTATATTTTTATAGAGCAGGGACTAGGGCATCTGGCTTAACAAAAATATGGTCAAGATATGCCTTGCAGTCCCCTTAAACCCTTGCTGGACTATTTATAATTGAACTATAACAACATTTACTAAACACACTTAGTCATTAGTGCATTCCGTGTCTACCATTAAATCAATGTTGATGTAACCTAAAAAAATTGACAGTATTTATTAATCTTTTTTTCACGTAGAAAGTCCTGCAAAGGTTCAATAAAATTGTTGGCTACAGATGATGATGATCTGTAATAGGCTGTTACTATTTATTATATTTTTAAAAATTTGTTTATTTATATTATTACTTTAAGAGCATTCGTATTGCATAGGAACAATATTTTATAAGTATATTTAAAAAATGTTTCTATAAAGAACACCACTCCATCACATTTATTTAGAGTACCACTATTGTAAATAATGAAGTAATCAGGAATAACAAACACATCCAGGTCTTCAATTATTCTTGTTTCTGTGAACACAATGACATTTACGTCCAAACAAAGTTTGTATTAATCCAAATTTTTGTTTAAACCTCTGATATTATAGATAATTTTAAAATTGGCGGAATTTATATTTATCGATAAAACATCATTTAACTCTTTGTAATTAGACTGAATTCTTCCACTTTTTCAACAACAAAATCTAATATTTAATTACAAATATCAAAATAAATCGAAACAAAACAAATAGAATTTTATTCTATCCATCTAAGCAGGTCCTAAATTATTTTGACTTTATGAGGTTCACTTCAATAATTGTACTTTGTTTTAACAGATTTCTTAATTAAATCGGATATGGTTTTTGTCGATTTATTGTGTATAGTAGCCTCGTCGGATCTCAAACGGATTTTCTTAGTAGGTTTAGGCTCCTTGCTTTCATTTTTTTCTCCTTTCTTATTTTCCATTTCAGAGTTAGTTTTCTGAGTAATGTGTTTCTCTTCATAAACTGGATCTTCAATTTCTTTAGGAAAAGGTGTTGATGGTTCACTGGTAACTTTTTTTTGAAAAGGGGGTTCAGATTTACCAATTCGTATATGGTACTTTTTTATGAACAGTTTTAATCCCTTTATGTAAAGGCTTCATTATTCCCAGTTCCGAGCTATTTTAAGATTCTCTAGTAATATATTTTCTTTTCTATCTTCTTCTATCAGCTATTAATATGTCAAATTCTTATTGTCTCTGAATGGTGGTAATTTTATTACAAGGATTTACTTTCTAAAACCAAAAACAATAATCCAAATACTGATTAATTCATTTACCTTTATTTAGAGCGTCAAAAGAAACTACAGAAAAGATACAAGAAATTAAAAGAATCCGAGCTGAATTACTTCTTAAAGGAGCAGTGTTGCCACCTGAAAAACCCAAGGAAGAACATTTTGATTCTAATTGTATTACACCTGGAACACCCTTTATGGCAAGATTATCAGATTGTTTACATTATTATATTCATGAAAGACTCAATAATGACCCTGGTTGGCAAAACATTAAGGTAGGCAATTATTTAATAGAAGTTATTAAGCGTTTTAAACAAAATATAGTCAAAAGTTCCTTTTAATAAATAATGTACAAAATTACAGTTAATTATTTAAGTTAACCATGCAACATTCATATACGGAAATCTAAACGTGGAGCCTCTATGTTACAATGAAAATTGGACTAGGCATATGACCGCTAAGCTGCGCATTACTTATCTTGTGTACGGGCGCACGGTACGTACGAGTTCTGCCTCGCTCCCACTAATGCACGTCTCTACTAGATTTGATTTATATGGTCCGCGTTTAAATTTCCGAATCTGTACATAAAAAGGAAGTATACAATAAGCATATCATAGCTATGCACGCTGCAGCCTAATTTGTCCGTGGTGGGGTAAAATTTGCCCACCCTTATACTGTTATGGTAGGTGATAGCAATTGAAAACTGACTTCAGACAAATTAGACTGAGGTAACTGTATATATCCAGCAGTTTTTTTATTATTCGATATTGTTATTTATTTTAATAAATAACTTTATCACTCCAATTTTATCACTCCAAAAATATAAACCTACTAAATTTAAAGTCAATATGTTAAATAATAACCAAAATAATTCAAAAAAACGAATACCAATTTCTAATTTAAACTACCTGTAACTCAGTAGTAGAAACCATTTGATTACAAAAATTAACCTTCGTTATGACAACCCCTGTATAACTAGAAGAATTTTTTTAAATAATAATAATAATAATAATAATAATATTCAAATATTGAATTTTTTTCTAACATAATTTATTCACTTGCTACTAACTATATGCATCTTCTCTAGATTATATTGTCTGACGCAAATGTTCCTGGAGAAGGTGAACATAAAATCATGGACTACATCAGAAGGCAAAGGAGTCAACCGGACCATGATCCTAACACTCAGCATGTATTATGTGGAGCAGATGCTGATCTTATAATGTTAGGATTAGCCACACATGAACCTAATTTTACTATCATCAGGGAGGAATTCAAACCCAATCAACCAAGGCCTTGTGAGATTTGTGGACAAGTTGGTAAGCCAAATTAAAATATGTTTTCTGTGTTGTATGGTTTTTCATGAGATTCATCAATTTGAAGGTTCGAAATTTAAAGAAGCAAGTCATAGAAGTAATTTTAAAAAACTGACTACAAAATCGTGCAGGTGTCATTACAAAATTTGCTGATTTTATTATAGATCCCATCATCAGATCTTGACTAGATGTATATGTGACCATCCATATGGTACCCCCTTTCTAACAAAAAAAAAAACAGAATCATAAAAATCGTACAAAGTACTAAAGAATTATCACTGAACATATATAAAAACATAAAAAATGAGGAGTTAGATTTTCTTATGGACGCCAACAATAGATCTTGACCAAATTTATATGGGACCACCCACCCCTGAACTGTCCCCTTCCAACAAAAAAAAAAAATAGAAATCGGAAAACGTGGTAAAGAATTATCGTTGAACTGAACATACATAAAAAAAATATTCTGACGAATTGAGAACCTCCTCTTTTTTTGAAGTCGGTTATAAATAAATAATAAAGAGAATCTGAAGGGAGTATTATACATTATTATAAAGTTCCTTTTTCAAAATTTATTTTACCTAAACAAATTATTAAGAATTTGGAATATATTCATTGCTTTTGTTTAATTGTTTTGTAAGATCAAATTCTATAAAGTATTTGTAAAATAAAACGCTTTGAAAAAACTGTTGTTTTCTAAATTATATAAAAAGCCTCAAACTAATCCAATTGTACTCATGGCATTTGCAAACAAAAAAAAATATTTTTTTTTATTTAGGTCACGAGATGAAGGACTGTGTAGGTGGATGTAGATCAGAGCACGAAAAACCAGCTGATGTAGCCATAGGTTCAGAAACTGATTTTATTTTTGTCAGATTAAATGTTTTAAAAGAGTACCTGGAACGGGAACTTCAAATGACGAATTTACCCTTCAAATACGATTTTGATAGAGCTGTAGATGATTGGGTTTTCATGTGTTTCTTTGTTGGTAATGACTTTTTACCACATTTACCTAGTCTTGAAATTAGGGAAGGTGCTATTGACAGATTGGTGGGACTGTACAAGAATTGTGTGTACAAAACAGGGGTAAGTAATATGCTTTGGATATTATATTTATAAAATGAATGTGATGAGTATTGAATTCTACATTTTAAATAGTATGACAGAAATCCATTTTTAAATTTATATATAAAATATAATAAAAAAGGAAATAATTCCAAACTCAAATGTGACCGAGATGTAAAATGCATCAAACAAATCTCAAAGCCATAGTCACAATATATGGGCGGCCGTTTCTCTTTTGACAACAACTACTCCCTTGGCTAATACCAAAGGTAGAGTGTTGAAAATATTTTCTATCTCTGTTTTTTTCATTTGACGTAATTTAATACCTTGTGAGGTATTAGCCAAAAAAGTAGTTGTTGTCAAAAGAGAAACGGTCGCCCATATATTGTAACTATGGCTTTGATATTTGTGTGATGTATAAAATATAATATCATGCAATCAATACACCCTTGAAGTTATATTACTGATAAAAGGGATGACGATTCCAGAACTTTAGTTGAATAATCTTGTATTGTTTCATAAATACCTTTTTACACCATCAAGGCACAGTTTATGTACTCCTTTAAAAATATATATACTTACCCAAAAGACATTTGAAGAAATTAAAATACATGACTTGAGGCAACTTTTCTTCTCGAGTTTCATTATTAGACAACATAAACATCTCTAATCTAATACCAGTAAAGGATAATTGTAATACTTGGCACAAATAGACATCTTCAAAAGCACCAAAGCCTGAAATAATTATATACAAAAGATCATTTTACTATTTAACTCCAAAACTATACAATTTAATGCCTAATGAAATTAAAAACATTAGTTTTACAATATTCAAGATTTTTTTTTTAAATGATTTACATCAGGCTCTTGCTTGGAACTACAAACATATTTTGAAATTTAAAAATAAAAATCATAGTCAAAATTTGAATTTTCTATTTTTATTTCTGATTTTTTAATATATTTGTTATGAAGCTTGTAGCCATTCTCTATATCTGTAAGATGGGGAGGGGGGGGGGTGGGTTGCTCCACATCTCTTAGGGCTCATTAGGCCTGTGCATCATCCGGGGGCATATAGGACTTCCCTCTCAACTCATCAAAAACCTGTTGGTTGTCTCTGGGGTTGTCGAAGTCCTGAAGGTCGATAATGTCGCTGAGAGGTGTTTCCAGGTGCCCCATTTTTGGAAGGGGCCATTTGGTGGGCTTCTACCATTATGATGGTAAATACGCTGATGAAGCCATTTAATCCGCCCGCTTCACAGACATTAATTTTAATATTAGTTCATTTAATAATTATTTTAAATTAATTTACCAGTACTCTTTCTTATATTTATTTTAATTCTTACTTGTTAGCGCCACTAAGAATACAAAAATGTTATCATACACTAATCCACCTTCAAGACTTAGGGGTTTATTCTGTAAAATTTTGATTAAAAATTATTTATAACTATGCGGTTATAATTTTAACATAAATGTCTATTCGGTACTCTATCAGTTATTTTATTTATTTTCATTTATTTTATTAGTTATTTTATAGCCAAAAAAGTGTAAAACCAACCAATTGTGTATTAATTTGCATTGCTACTACAAATGAACTCAATTAAATTGAAAGAACGGTAAAAATTTTTACAAATCCATTGAAAGTTGTTTCTTTGACGTTTGGTTTTAATGTCAAAAATGTAATTTTATGAGACACGTGTTAAAAGTGATTCAGTTTTAACACTAGTGGATTGTAATTCAAGCTTCTATGTTCCAGCAAACCTAAAAATCTTCCTTTGAATATTCCACATTGACTCTTTCTTTTAAATTTCTGGCTCTTCTTAAATTATTAAATCATCCCTCCCGAACTGTTGTCAGCAATATTACCTGAGTATTATGTAAGTATAGCCAAGGCGCAAGGTACAACTGTATATCTTTCTTCTTCTACTCGATTTAAATATACATTTTATTATTAAATGTGTGTAGTGTGGCAAAATAACTTTCTTTCTACATATTTCACTTTAATTTAAAAGCAATGTACTGTCTGTGGTACTGTAATGCAGCCATTTTTAATAATTTTTTGCTAGTTATTTTTATTTTTAAAAGCAACGCTGTTACCTTACCGATAAGTTTGGATCTAGATTTATAATTGACATAAGTTATAATTTTAGCCAAATATGACATGCAAAATACAAAATTGATATAACATCCTCTTATTTTTATAACCTATGGTTAATTTTAACCAATTTTTTACAGAATAGACCCATTAGGCCCGTATTTATAAACATATCTCAAGTGAATCAGACTTGGCTTAGCTGTCCTTGAACGAAAATCGAAGTTCAGTAATAACTTCTCTAGAGTTCCTCTGTTGCACTGGAATTTAAAAATGGACATTAGCAAATCCGTAACTGTTAAGCAAATTTAAGAATTTTTTACTACCATCTCTAAATTCATGTGATATAACCAGTGGCTGGTTTAGAATTCGTTCTAGAGGGGGCTGTAAAGATTTATTGGCGTGATAAATAAATGCCTAACTTACCCGATTTTTCTTATTATATTTATTCAATTCAAATTATTTTTCGACAAATTGTCTTTATAAATTATTTTAGGACAACTTTTTTTGGACAAATTATTTTTGGACAAATTATTTTTGGGCCAATTCTTTTTGGGTAAATTATTTTTGGACAAATAATTTTTGGATTATTTGCTTAAAAATATTAATTACGATTTTTGCTATTTAAAAGACAAATGTTTATCTAGAATGACAAAATCAAGTGATCTTTTCGCTATTTATCTGTAGTATTTTGATTACTGGGTAATCATCTTTAATAATGCAAAAATGTTCTTGTTCACGGTTATCTTATTATTTGTTAATTTTTTTTAAATAAACTAATGAAAAACATTGTATTCTAATATTTTTTGTACCTAATGTTATTTTATCTTTATCATCATATGAAAGTATTTGTAAATGAAATCACAATGTTTTTAATTTTGGCAAAATAACACCTGTAAAATATTTTAAAAATTATTTAATAAGGCATATAAAAAACAAATTTAAAACCAGACACATCTTGATTAAACCTTTATAGCCAAATTTGCTGATTTTACAATTTTTTTGATGAAATATTTTGCGGTCGTAGGAAAAATATTGTACATCACTCGTGTAAAAGTGATTTTTCACTCGAATTATGCCTCGTTTGATAATATATATCATATATCTTCATTGCCAACATTATTAAAAAAAAAAAATTAAAATTTTTCACATTTCTTCAATTCGGTCTATTTTAGAGAAATTATGTATAGGACAAAAATTATAGAGAATGGCATCATAAATAATTCTTATTCAAAGAATTTTCTTCTCTATAAATTTTAAAAAAATTATAAAAAATATATCTTAAATAGAAAAACTCCCCCTTAAAAGTATACCCTCCAAATGCTCCGTCTATGCCCAAAATCCAATCAGGTCACCGCACTATAGATTAAAGTTTAACATTTTGTATTTTACTCATTATCCTGACCGAAATCATCGCGAAAATGGATAAAACTAAATCAGGGGACCCAAAAACAAATATCCATCGAAAACTCGAGGTCCAAAAATTCATGTTTCCTATTCTTTTCTTATTGGTTACAGAAAAGTAAAAGTTAAACATAAAAATGAATAGATAGTATGGTTTATATAAGGTCTATAGATACGAATTGGTCTAATACCAGCACCATTGATAATATGTAGGAGTTTGAAGAACTTCAAATATGTGTAAATGTTACATATAAACCATACTATTTAATAATTCTGTTTAATTTTTTAAACAAATTTTAACGAATCATTCCGATTTAATTTAATTTAATTTAATTTAATTTGACCTGAAACCACATAACTTTACCAATAATTTAATATGTTCATATTTCAGGCCTGATGATGGCTTTTAAGCCGAAACTGTTTATAAATACGGGCCTTAGTCTTTAGTGGAAATGTCAATTTTATTTACCTATGTTCCTATTAATATATTTATTGTATTAGATCAATATAAAATGTATTTTATATAAATCAGTCTACTTACTTGTGGTAAATAAATATTGTTATAGATAAAAACATTTAGAATACCTTTTTGTCTTCCCATCTAGTCCCCTGTCACTGTAATTATAATTTGTAAGGACCAAATAAGAACTCGAATGTTGTTCACACATTTGAGGAGTTGCAGCACCTACACTCTCTATACTAGTCTATACCATTCAGAAAAAAAAGGGCGATACAAATAATTAAAGACTCAAAATCTTACTTTAATTTAATTTTTGATAAACATAAAAACGTATGTAGGTAGATTTTTAATAGACAAGTTTTAATATAAAATATTTATTATAAGATTTTTTAGATTAAAATTGTAGGTTAGTCAATAATGACTAGTAACAATACTCGCACACACAAAAAAAAAAAATTAAGTAATTTTGTAGGGGTTGTGTGCTATGACATTTCATTTTTATCATTTGAAATGTCAGCGTTGTCAAATGATCTGATATGAAAAAATTCTGAACAAAAGAAATATAATTCAGTCAATTATAAACATAAATGTCAATAGATTGGTTGCCCAAATCATCTCGCTGATATTTTAAATGCATTGCCTTGCATTCCTGTTAATGGTTAATTTTGGTCCAATTTCTCTTATAAAGTGTGAATACATGAATCTATTTGGAATATTCTAAAAAAGAAAGTTTATTAGAAGAGAAAGAGTTATTTATTCTAATTTCAGAAGTAGATGGAATCTGCAGAACTGTGTTATAAATAGAAACACATAATTAATATACAATATACATATACTGTTTTATATATTTTTTTACCTCAGATTTAAAATTTTTATATAAAATTGTTCTATCCCTCATTAATTCTATATTTTCCTTAGCGTATGTTAGTGTTCTGTTGTGTATTAAGTGAGCCATCCGGCATCACTAATCACTATGGCCTACTTAATGATCGTACAATAGTTTTCTCACGACTGCTATGTTACATTAGTTCCAAGCATCTTCCAGATTAATGTCACAGGACAACACCACCCATTTCCATTCAGCCAAACCACAATCCACAATTCTTACAAACTCAGTAAACTTTCTTAATCTCACAAGGATTAGCCTCTTATTACTCAGCTCAAGCCTGCATTATTATTATACAATTGCTTTTAATTTTTATTAGTCTTCGTTTAACAATAAGTTTTAATTATCATATCTCTCATCTAGCCATTTTTTAAGCTAACTTTTATTACTTAAATACATCGTTTGTCGCCTTCAACTAAAATATTATTTCCAATTAATATAACAACCTTATTTATTATGTTTGATGATGGCCGAAACTATAAATATATAAGCGGTACGGATTTAGTGTCTTATTATTCATATGGATCACATTTGAGTTAAATGGATAATCTTTTATCATCACTAAATATAGTGTTCAATGTCTTTTCTCAAAATGTAATCTGAAAATTATTTATTTTTACCCTGTTTGATGTAGATCATCAGAGACAGGAGTTGGACAGGCTTTTCGCAATTCTACCACTTCATACACATGATTTGACAGTTTTGCCACGGAGCCAACCGAAGTGAACGTGATACATTAGCCTGAAAAATTATTTTATAGATTCTAATTAGAATTTCGCATATTCATCTAGTTTAATAAAATGTGACTATGGCTGTGCAACTTTTGTATAGTTCTGATTTGGAATACTTTATTCTTGGACACGACACCGGCAAACAAGCATTACTGCGAAATTATCGAAGTCGTCAAACGGGGTTTGATGTTTACCACCTCTCCACCTGCCAACTTCTGTCCCTGCTCTCTTGAGTAAAGTTTGTGGATCATTGATTTTTAATATCAATATAGAAGATCTCATCTATACCTGAAAAATATCTTCTTGTTGTGACACATTGGGTCCGATCATTTTTATAATGTAAAAAAGTATTCTTATTGAATTACAATAAATACAGAAAAGATGCTAAAGAGATTTTATGATTCACAAGCTGTATACAGCAGTATAGAAAAGAAGAACCTCATGATCAGAGTTAATGCCTTTACAAAGTTCATTAAACAGTATCTAGATAAAATAAATATAATTCACAATTTATATCAAATAATTAGGTACATCTTGCAGAGAAGCTGGAATAGTCTTACTTGCAAGGTTATCGATGAATCATGCAGTGAATGCATGTTGCTTGGGGAGCAATGTTTCTTCACTTTTGTTTGAAAGTCTCACTGTTGCTCCATCTGTACAATCCCTACAGGCGTTTTTTTCAATGTAGTCCTCAAGTTTCAAAAAGAGTATTTTTCTCCCCAATTAAATCTTCACTTTTCTAATGGTTACAAGTGCACTACAAAACGGGAACTTTTCTTTGACCCGTGGTGACTTTTAGGAAATTATTATTATAATATTATTGTTATGAAAATTTTGAATACTGTTAAAATTTTAATAATAAATATTTATTTAATTTATTCATTAGGGCTGGTTAACCAACAGCGGTGAAGTTAATCTAGAGAGAGTACAAATGATTATGTTAGAATTGGGCAAAGTTGAAGATGAAATATTTAAAACAAGACAACAAAAAGAACTACAGTTCAAAGCAAGAGAAAAGGCAAAAAAGAGACGATCTGATGGTTATGGCCAATACAGGCCCAACTGGAATTTAGTAAAAGATACACAGTTTGCACCTACAGTAAGTTTGAAAATATTTAATTGTCATTAAATTAGTATAAAATACATTTTTTTTGTAATAAATTAAATATTATTTTAGGCCATTGGTCAACATAAGCCCATTGTGAATGCCAGACAAGAGGCTTTTAATATGCGTAAAGCTGGAATGCACTCTCAATCTAATGTAGATATCAAGCTGCAGACAACAAACGCCAAAACAGCTTTGGAATCAATGTTCAGACCGGCTGGTAGTTCAAATGATTCTCAGCAAGACCTTAAACGACCCAGAGAAGATGACGATGAGGAAGATCAAGCTCACGACGAGGTCAGATTGTGGGAAGATGGCTTCAAAGATCGTTATTATGAGTCTAAGTTTGACGTTGGCTCAGACCAATTGGAATTCAGGTAAATTATTACAGTAATTAGATATCAGACCATGTTAATATTTCTTTACTTTGCACAGGTTTGATGGGTGGCATAGTAGTAGTAATTTATGTTTTTACACACACACCTGTTAATCAAATTACACCATTAATCATCTCTTTATTTATGCTGAGTAGCTACAATTTCAATTTTCAAGTTCGTACCTTTAAAAAAATCGATTTTCCCTTACAAACATGCATTATTTATTTTTGATGAGTAGCTACAATTCCAATTTTCAAGTCCCTACCTTTAAAAAATCCATATATAGCATATAATAATGGGGTAAATTGTTGGAAATTTTTTTATATTATCAAGGCAATATCTACTTAAAAAAACAACTTTCAAATACATACTGTGATATTTGTTTATTTTAAACAACAGTTTATTTATTAATAATTTATTTAAACGCTTATTTATTTTATATTTTATTCTAATTTATATATACTTCGAATGTCTTTAAACTAATTACTATTTATCTTCACTGTCCATATAACAACTAATTCTGATGGCTCATCCACCAATATTTATATACAACTTGGTGGTCTAGAATGTTCCTCCACCAAAATTACCAGAATTTACCAGAAACGTTATCACGTTATATTTAGACTAGAAATAGTTTCTCGTTGACTCAGGAATGTTCGCGAAAGTGTCCACCATAGTCGTCACATAGGTTTGGCCTTAAGGGGTTAATTATGTATAATAATCGGACAAGTTGAGCCTCAAAGGCCAAATAATACAGAGAGGGACTTGGAGTATTAGAGCATGACTGAATAATGAAATGGCTCACATTACAATACTAATGGAATAGCCATATATATACTGTGCCGGCAAGATCAAATCATTGGTCCTGATTTGCGGGTTTCCAAGTGAATAGTAAATGTCATTCGCATGTACAGGAGAGAAAATGATGTAACGTTGCCATTTACTGGTTGGTAGCCATGACTGACCCATGACTCCAGCTGTAAATTGTAACATTGTTACGCTGTCGTTTTATCTTTTATCTACCTATTATCACAATGTATCTCACTCACCAGTGCAACCAAGCAATTTATGTGGTGATACAAATTCTAGACTAATGGACAGATATGGATAATGATGACAAGCATTATTATTTTACTTTTGTTTGACAATAAGCACTGATTGTTTAATGCCAAATATGCTTTGCTAATTTTAATAAATTTTGAACGAAATACAACGTTTACATTGCTATTATCTTTTTTACTGAATTTAGTGAAAATCTCCATGGTGTCCTGTTTAAAATGATCACTCCCACTCCCCCAGAGGGGAGGGGGCACCCTTTTATGTTATCCCCTGTCCCGGTCGCTGTTGCGCTATATTCCCACCATAAAAATTTAAATATACTCTATAACGTGAGAATATATCATAGAATTTTTTATAGATTTGCTACTTGTGGACATTTTTGACCAAAACAACTCTATTTTTAGATATGCAGTGGCTCTACATTACGTTCGAGGCCTATGTTGGGTTCTCAAATACTACTATCAAGGCTGCGCTTCTTGGAAATGGTATTTCCCATACCATTATGCCCCTTTTGCATCAGATTTTTGTAATATTGCAGGCCTAAGCACAGAATTTGAAAAAGATACCAAACCGGCAAGTAATATTTAACTGTTTGTAGTCATGTCTTTGATGGCAATTATTTTATTTTGCAGTTTAAGCCCTTGGAACAACTTATGGGCGTGTTTCCAGCAGCAAGTTGCAAACATGTGCCCGAACCTTGGGCCGAATTAATGTCTGACCCTGTAAGTATTTTAGTTTTACATAAATAATATACGGGTTAATGTTTTTTTTTTGTAGGATTCGCCTATAATTGATTTTTATCCAGAAGACTTCAAAATAGATCTTAATGGAAAAAAATTCGCCTGGCAGGGAGTAGCGCTGTTACCATTTGTAGATGAAAAACGGCTTTTTAAAGCTTTGGAACCATATTATAAAAAATTAACGCCCTACGAAATAAAGAGAAACATCCGAGGTGATGACAAATTGTATGTTTCCCCTAAGAACAAAGGATTTGACCTTTTAAGTAATTTGTATAAGCAGGGAGTGGCTAACGATGCTCAATGTGCTATTTCTTTAGATGGAATGGCCGGAACTGTTTTGATTTCGGAAATAAACGTCGAATATGGAGGGTAATGATTTAATCTATCTTTATTTTATTAGTTTATTAATGAGTAACCAACGTTGTAACGTAACTTTAAATAACTAACCTATGTATGAAAGTAACATTTTTAAATTTATTATTTTAATCCCTTATTTTTTTGTGCGGGGTTGTGTGCTTAGGTGAAAATATTTATACCGTTCAGGTTAAATAGACGCTTATTTTGATTAAATGTAGAAACGTGCTTGCATAAAATGTTTCATCTTTAAATGGCTACTGCTCAGAATGTATTGCTTCAATGAACTTGCTTTTTTGAAAAAACATTTTATGTCCATCCATTCCTGTTTTTCGAATGCTAATTAAATACAACAAAAAAACTTGTTTTGGTCGCAGAAATGTATTGGATTTTTTTTATATTTTGCTACTAGTTTCGACCACGCAGGGCAATCATCAGACCTGAAAAAAAAATTATAGTAATTCTTTTCCCCATAGTTTTACGTAATTGTTGATTTTAGGCGAGCCAGTGATACTTCTTTGGAACACATTTGCTCAAGGCATTTGCTACATAGGCCTTTAAGGCATTTAAGACGTCGCCTAGAGCTCCATAGCTGTAGGGACTATAGCAAAGTCTTTTCATGTTTTACAAGATGAGAAGGAATATTTGTAATTTTGCCTTTCATAAATAACGCGCTTTATAGTGTCACTGGCTCATCTAGTATTAATAAAAGCTAAAAATAACATTTACGGATGTGTAATTGGAACTCAGGGTACGAAACAACAACAAAGGTTGAGGATTTCAAGCGAAAGTAGAATTTACGCATGAGTAATAGTGATTATCAATAACTGGAAAGGTCTATTGCGCATGCGTGCAATTAAATCAAATAATTCGGCTGAATTTCTTACAAAGAAAGGCAAAGTATAGTTTGAAAAAGAAGAAACGACAAATGTCTAGTGATTTTTATGTTTTAACAGTGTATTCAAATTTTCGTTTCATATCTTAATAAAATAAAAACGTGTTATGTTGGAAATGGGGTGTTAATACACTGCGACCTAAAAGATCTATTGTACCCTCTTCTGTGGCTAATACAGCAAGGAAATGTCTCAATGCCTGTAACGATCCTTCCAATCCTATCTTCTCGAGGATGTGTAGGATTTGGAGTGGCTTCAAGTTAGGTAAATCTCCCTCTTCTATTTATATTAGAGATAGGACTTTTCATGAAAAGTCATTGTTGGACTAGTCCGACGGACATGTCCAGAAAAGTAGTGAAAAGTAATGAAAAGTAGTCGACCTTGAGCATAGAAGACACATAGTTAAATCTCCATCCTGAATGTTTTTTCAAAAACATTTTGAGAACAATATTTGTATTTTCGTTTTTTGTTAGGCAAATCATTTTTGTAAAATACTTCCAGCCTTTGGATTTTTTGGTAATTTTTTGGTAATTTTTTCACGAAAACATCGTTAAAACATAGAAGTCAGTAAACATTTGTCGCTTCTTCTTTTTAAACTATATTTTACATTTATTTGTAAGAAATTCTGACGAATTAGTTAATTTGCTTTCTCGCATGTGCAGTACAGTTTTCCACTTTTCAACTTTTCAGACTAGTCCGTCGGCACTTGTCTGGACTTTTTCAAGCGATCCATTACTAATTTATATGCTACCATTGTATAAATATATCTAGTAAGTCAACGCTTATGAAGCCAAAGGTTGATTTTATTATGCTCGTCACATGGCGATAGTTTTCTAGATGCCGGTAAAAGAAGTTGGAATTATTTGTCATTTTGCGAATTTTTTGGATCGTACATGGTCTCTATTTCGCTCTATTTTAACAAAACTGGCAACTATCGAATAATAGTTTGCCAACTTTATAATTGCGTTTTATTAGTAGTCGCTTAGATGGTCTTTAAGTTGGTGGTCTACCATATTACGCGTATTTCATGTTTGGCGTGAATTCAAGCTATCGGTAGGTATTTAACATTTTTGTCTTTATGTTGGTAAATAGCTAATTTTATTCATTCATCTTCGTATAAATATTATTGAAATAATAAAATCGTATGAATGTTTGTTATCCAGGACCGTAATGTACGAAATTATACCTAGTTTTTAATAGAATGTAGATAGGTAGTTTGGATAAAAAAAATTGGTAATATAAAATAATATTAAAATTAATAAAAGACAAATTTTTAAATAACCTAAGTACTAGCCTCTTACAATGATTATTTTTTTCGTATAACTTTTAACCAATTAGAACGTTCAATTTAGTTAAGTTACCTCGTATAATTTCGATAATACCTGATTATACATAGAGTAGCTCCACCAATCAAAAATATTTACAATAATTTCATTTCCGTAGTAACCATATCGACAACAATACACTAACTAACAGGACCGTCAAATTTTGACGTTTATCAATAATTATTTTAAAATGAGTCGAATTAATAAAGTGTTGATATTTACTTAATTTACTCAAAAAATAATCGTATCAAATACAATACGTACTTCAAAGTAAATACGGTTATACATCTCAAACTTCCTGCATAATTAGAAATCGTGTCAGTTTGACAGATTAATCCTCCCTCTTCGCGGTCGGATTATTTAAACTGTCAAACTGACACTCTTTATAATTATGCAACAAGTTATCGATGTATAACCTGATTATTTTGAAGTACTTATAGTATTACTACTGATTATTAGCTTTATTTATTATTAAATAATAAATTTATTATTATTAAACATTTTGTTAGGTATAATAAGTAGGTACATTAAAAATATAAGGAAAATATGGAATTAATTTATTTATGTATTTTTCACTAGACAACGTTACTTTTTTTTACTGGCTTGAAGTTTACTTGTTTTTTTTTTCGCTTCTAATTTGGACCGGTTCTTACAATATTTGAAAATTTGAGTTGTGATTAATAAATCTAACATATTACTATCTGTGTTCCACAGTTACTATTACAATTACACCATTCTGCTAAAAATGTTTTTATTTTTTCAATTATAACTTTTCGCAAATTATAAAAAACTTTTTTGGTGCAATATCTTCTATGTTTTGCGTGACAGTTTGTAGCGATATTTTAGCAAATTGACCAAATAGTGATGATGGACATTTTAGCCCGGATTGCTCGTTTAGATTATAAAAAATGAGTATCTGGTGTTCATTATTCAAAACATTTTCTTTTTCTTCGAAATAATTTTGACACTCCTCGCATTTAAATTTTTGTACGCATTTTTTTTTTTTGTTAAGTATCCGGCAAAGTACATAGTGGAACATTCTTCTAGTGTTACAGGAAGCGTCTTCTCTAATGAAATATCGATTTCAGAACTCTTATTGTATTCATCATTATGAGGATCATCAGCACTATTAAAAACGTTTAAAGTATTACCAGACCACAGGAGATTTTGGTTTTCGTCCTGATTCGTTCACGAATTTGCTTTAAGTGGAGGCCTCATGAAATTATGAACGATATAACCCCCTTTCGCGCCTATAGACAGAAAATTGGTTTTCTAATGGATCCTGAATTACTCTTCCTGTTAATACATATTTAAGTTCAGTTTGCGTAATAATATAGGAATAAAACTCTTTAACGGCATTTATGGTAAGATGAAAACCATCGAATAAATCCGGTCTCGTTAATTTACCTTTGGCAGTTTGTTTAGCTACATTCTTAAAAAGTTTGCATCCTTGTGTAACATCATTAAAATCACCTGTTTATTCTCAATATAATACGATCGGTTATAAGGTTTTGAATTATATGCAGAAGAACTATTTAAGCCATCAAATAGGTTGTTCATTGTTTTAATAAAATAGGCTATATTTTCAGCCGTTATGGAAACTAATTCTCCAGTTCTTGTTGCCGTTTTAATGGTTGTAGCTACAGAATGGCTAAATAACTGAGCAGCGAGCTTTACGCTCATTTTTTCAAATGCATTTGATAAAAGGTGTTTTAAAGTGATTTTTAATAAAGCTCTTCCAGATTTGCTACGTTGGTCCAGTTCATAAACATATTTAATATCAGCAAATCTAATAAATTTGCCATTGAAGATAAAATAACCTTGTAAAAACTTATTTCGAACACATTTTACTAGGCACATAAAAAATGCAAAGTAATTTTTTTCTCCTATGGCAAATTTAGGGTTATCTAAAGTAATGCCCAAAGATATATAAACTTTTTGGTTAAATGTAGATAAATCACACACTATCCTTATAGGTTCCAAACCTGAGTCTCGAATATGTGTTAAACCTTTAATAATAATAGTTTCGAGGGATTAAGCATGGACACCGTTTTGGGTAAAAAAAGGTACTGGAATTTTTCATTGAAAAAATACACTAAAGCTTGTCCGGCAAAAATTGGCTTTCTTTTGTTGTTCTCGAGGTCTTCAAACCCTTCAATGACATCTAATTTTTTATTATATTCCATGGTTTTCTTAATTGCCATCTCATCGAACAACAAAATACATTTTTGTCCTCCTTTGTCATTGTCTCTGATTTAATTCAAATATTTTCAAATATCCGAAGTCTGGGTTCATAAATTGAATTGAATTAGGCATTTCAAACAAATGAATTACCAGTGGGCAGGTTTGGTAGATCTGACGGTTGCGACATACGCTGTATTCTATCTACAATACGTAAAATCATGAATAATAGATAACATTTAAATATTTTATATCGAACACTAAAAATATTAATTAAAAAAACTGCTTGTACATTTTTTTAAAAACTGGCAGGATTGACGACTGATATTTCGAATAAAAATAGCGTCCAAGATGCAAGACTATGTCGCTACCCCCTTAGATATACGAGACCTTCCCACTGGCAGGTATTGTTTGACAGGTCGTTGGAATGCCTAATTAAAGTTTCTGAATGTACTCACTTGGATGTATCGTGACCGCCGAAATTTTCGCGAGGTTGCCAAATCGAATTACATATCAGAGATTAAAGGATATTGCAGAATTGTTAATATATCAGCAAATGTAATAATTAATTGTGGGATTATTTATTGATTATACGGATGTCCGACGACAAAGAACATTGTTAATAGACATGTTCAATTTTTTGGTTTAAATATTTAATAAACTTCCATAACAACTGTACAAATTCTTAAATGTATAATATACAAAATGTATAATATTTAAAAGTTGTAACAGTTAGATAAATGCATCACAACGCGAAATCGTTTTGAGAAAATCAAAAACAAACTTGTTTTATATATCTATTAGATAGAGAGTCCTGGGACCCAAGTGAGAGCAACTATATTTTCCTAGCCTAGCTCATTCAATTTTTCTAGGCATCTCTAGACCATTTTTGAGCTGATTACGCAAGAGCTTATTGCTTTAATGGCTGCTTGGCTATCGGACATAATACACGATGATAATTTCTTGTCTATGATAGTTTCTTTCGATGTTAAACTAGATACACCTCCCAATGGCGTGAATTTCTGCCTGGAAGATGCTTGGGTGTATTCCCCAACTTTTAGAGTGCCTGGTTCTAGGTCTGTACACTCCTATTCCAGTGCCTTCTTTTTTTTTAGAACTATCCGTATACGACTGAATAGCATGTCTTTCGGTTGCAAGCACGTTTCTGTGTTTGTCAGTGCATCTTGAATTACGTCAGTCAGCTATGCCCGGGCAGTTTCTGTAGATTTTCCTGTTCGGTATGTTTGCTAGATGTGGTGGAGTGGTACCTTCTCCAGGACTTCTGTTCTGTTATCATTATCAACAGCCTTCTGCATTGTTTTTAATGCAAAGGATAATTGGTCGAAAGGAATTAGGATGTCATTGTGTGTTATTCCTTTTCCATACTTTTGGAATAAAGGTTACTCTGGCCCTTTTCCATGATTCTGATATAAAGGTCACTCTGGCCCTTTTCCGTGATTCTGGTATATATCCTAGTTCAAGACTGCTCCGGGATATCCGTATAGTAATTCCTCCTGTGCCCGCTGAAGCAGGGCAGGAAATATTTCATCCACACCTGGAGACTTAAACGGTTCAAAAGTCTTTACCTTAGTTGTGTCTCTTATTAGAAAATGTGTGCTCCTAGGAAAGTGAGTTTCATCCTCACTCCGTGAAGCTTCTATTTGGATTAATAAACGCCATAACTGTATCAACTCTCTCTTTTGCCAGGGCCTTGTAGTCTTGCTGCTGCAGGTGTATTCTCCTCGCAGAATTTTCTGAAGCTGTTACGTTTAGCTTTCCTTATTTCTTTGTTGTAGGTGGTAAGTGAAAAAATGACCAGAAAACCCAGAGTTTGGAAATATTTTACAAATGATTTGCCTAAAAAACGAAATTAAAAATGCAGAATGTTTACAAAGTGTTTTTGAAAAAATTCCCAGTTTGGAGAAATATTTAGCTGTGTGTTTTCTATGCCCAAAGGCAACTTTTTTCACCGCTGTTCACTACTTTTCCCGACATGTCCGTCGGACTAGACCTAAAATTATTTTTCATGAAAAGTCCCATCACTACTATTTTCAGAGGCAAGTAAGATCAATCTGAATGTCCCGAAAATTATAATATGGTAAAAAGAATTAACATTCCTCTCAGACGATTAGAAAACTTTCTATGTGTAGGCTGTTTTCGTGTAGAGAATTTTGTGAGATAAAAATGTCAAAAAGAATAACCATATGATATGATATGTTCACACTAAAATGCGTAATGAGGCACCTGGCTTTGGCGATGGGATGCGAGGGTGGTTTTTCTCTTTCAACTATATTAATATGCTAACTACAATGTGTTCTATAAGGACCAGACTGTGAAGTATAATTGTTTTTTATTGTATTTTGTATTTAATACATCTTGTCATATTTTAGAATGGATGAGCTTCTTCCCTTACTCTAATGTGTTCATTTGGTATATTATGGTCTTTATTGAGGATCATTCTCAATATTGCACGTTCCATAGCTTGCTCAGTTGTTCTAAATTGGGAATTCTCGTTTTTTTTTTTTTTATTTAAGAATTGATAGATATTTACTTATAAACATAGAGAGGATTCATTCATATATTTTTTTATTGCATAACCGATTTCAAGAAAAAAATTAATTGGTTCTGTTTTTTAAACTTTAAAACGCTGCGTCCCTAGTTTTAAATGTGGTCAACGTTGCCTAATAAATGACAGTCGTGAAGGGTATTACACCATTATCTAAAACTATCATTTCTAGTTGTTTCTAGGAATATTATTGGTTTACCTGGCTAACAGTCGATTGTTAAATATTTATACTCATTAAACCTTAAACATCTTTAAAAATCCGTATGGCCTGCATTCTGCTTGACTGACGCAGCAATGTTTGTAAGCATCTCTTTGTACTGTTGTCTTAAATTTGTTACATAAATCGTAGATTTTTTTAATCTAGCATTTAAGACGCAGTTAAATAAATATTAAAAGTTAAAATATGTTGAGAAACATAAATGTTCGGGTAGTCAGGAGCTGTTGGGATTTTTTAATGTTAATGATGTCTGGAAACATATTTCATTGCCATAAAAAAAAGAAAAATTACTCAGAAAGCAACTATCTTTGAATTTCACAGGTCACATGACCGCTTCCACCACCGAAACATAGTATGTGCTAGCAGAAAAGGCGAAGTGCCACTTTTTGCAGTCAGCTGAAACACTACTAAAATGTTTGACATTTCTATGATATTTTAACTCGTTGATAATTTCAGATCAACATCCTTATGTTTAATGTATTTTTCAGAGATTTGCATTCACCTGTAACCGATTTGCCGAGTATAACAGATAACACAGTGACTTGTGTCAGATTTAGAGATCCACAATATCCTAGGGACTACATTTTCCTTGCGAAAAAATTAACAGGGGCTAAGGATCCCACTAGAGTGTTAAAACCGGGTGATCTTAATGCGGAGGATAACAGAAAATGGCGGCCGCAGATTGGCATGGTACCATCTACACAGAGGTAAGAATAGCTACAATTAGGGCTGCCAATTTTAACCCCTGTATCATAAATAAAGGGTGCAAATATTTTTATATGGGCAGGCTTAAGGGGTAAATGGCCCAAATATTTTTACATGGACAGGCATAAGTGGTAAAGGGATCAAATATTTTGATATGGGCAGACTTAAAGGATGAAGGCACAACATATATTTACATGAAAAGGCTTAAGGTATTAATGGAACAAATATTTTTATGGGCAAGCTGAAGAGGTAAAGAGGCAAAATAATTTTAAATGGGCAGGTGTAAAAGGGTTAAATATTTTTATATAAATGATACATTTAAAAAAATTGAGAAAATCATGTATCTGAGTTTTGACTCACCCTGTACACGTCTGTTGCGCTAGGAAAAAATTATCATATTCTTATAAAAGTAGACTATCATTACACATTATTCATCAAAAAATTTTGATGTTCGATTGTTTCTTTTGAAATATACAGAGGGTTGAACCTAGTACAATTTTCATATAAAATTGGTTTAAACTTCCAAAATACCCAGTATAACCTCATACATGTTGGTATTTTCTAGAAGGACAAAGTCAGGGGAATTCAAATTTACAGTTAAATACAGGGTGGTCCATTTAAAAAAAACAGGTTTGTTCAATTCTGAAGTTATGGATCACTCTGTATAATCGAAAATAATTTTGAAATGTGCAGATTAATATTATCTACAACTTTTGTAAATAACATTGTTTGATATTTTCTATAATATAGGATATATCAAACTTCCACATTCTATATGAAGTTTCTGACACATGATTTAGAATTGTTTAATTGGTAATGTTTATGTTGTTATAATTTATTATTGTTTTTTCAGGGCGAATTTGGATATTTCTGGTCACAGAACAATTAATCATTACACACGTAAAGAACATGGACAATATGGTAATGTTCCTCCACCGGGTAATTTGGAGAGGAGAAATAACTATAACGGTAAGTTGATTATTTCTGTTTTTGAAACAATAATTTGCTTAATTTTTTGCAAGCAATGTTCACAATCTTATTGAAATGGAATATCAATTCCCAAATATGCCAGAAAATACTAAAGTGGGGCACATAATTGGTTCAATAGATGTTACTGAAGAAAAAATAAGAGAAGTTCTAAGTTAAATTAGCAGTTCTGCTCCAGATTGTATTAAGCAGATTTGAATAAAAAACTGCATTGTCAGTTTAAGGGGAATTAGCTTAAGTTCTTTTGTTGGAAAATCTTGTGAACTGACAACTTTTTTTATTATGAACTATATCGAATTTTCATTAACGAGGGATTTAATAAAAATATTATTACGTTAGTAAGTAGTCCAGGGCACAAAGGTATCTAAGGAAATGAAAAGGCTGATGAACTCGCCAAAGACGGATTAGATCTACCATTCACAGGCCCTGAACCTGTATTTGGGATAAGCAAAACCTCTGCTCGACAGGCAGTGAACAGGTGGATAACCACAAAACACCAAATGCACTGGCAACAGATAAGAGGGCACATAATCAGTAAGCTCATGCTAAGGGGACCAAATCCACGCATCGCTACTGAGGCACTACAACTCGCAAGGCCTCAGATATCCACCATTGTGGGATTACTAACGAGGCACTGCTTGCTGAAACAACTTCATGTGATGGGATTACACATTGATCCCACTACGTGTAGACTCTGCATGGAAGAGGAAGAAACCTCATACCATGTGATCTTCGAATGCGAAGCTCTTACTAGGCGACGTTTCATCCTTTTCGGCCTAGAACCGAAAAGAACGCCCCAGGAACACTTGGTAGGGATCCTATTAAAACTAACCAAAGACACAGGACTATTCCAAAGATACTACTTGAATACGGGGAAAGCAGGGGAATACAATAGACCCAAGAGGCCGCAGTGTTCTGGGCCAAACCTAACCTTACCTGCTTACAACCGATAAAGATAAAAAAAGTAGTCCATTGCACCAGATAAAAAATATAAATAAATAGATGTCAGAAGAGGTGGTTACAGCAAAATAAACTTTAAATATTCTCTTTGAATTTTACACACGGGATTAAATTTACAAAAATTATTGTAATGAACATAAATCTTTGCATTCCAATCTTCTCTTACAAATAAAAAAGATTTACGAATATCAATTTGCTTTTTTTAATAACAGAACAAAGACTATTTGGAACATAATAAGCAATGAAAAAGGAGTAAATAAAAAAAAGAATGTAATCAGTGACATTTTTAATAATTTCTGTGTATCGGATGCCGGTAATCTTGTGGTTACGGGTCCAAAAAATACAAATATAAATCATATTTATTCTATAGCTAGTTTAATAATTTTAGGTCTGAAAAACAAATACTCTAGTGGAAATGATTGAATAAGCAACATAATGATGAACAAATTTGTTTTTCATATTTTAATGTCTTTAATACATATTGTTGATGAATCTTTATTTAAGGCTGGCGATCGCCCATATTAATTCTGTATATGCAGAGGTTACTTTTGACGAAGCTTTCGGGAAAAGTATACTTCGTAGCATTAATATTAATATAGAAATCAGTTCATGCCTATGGGTTGTAAAGAAATCTAATGGAACAGAGTTTTTAAAAATACTAGAAAAATGACTTTGATCCTCTGTATCCAAACCACATTGAAACCCTCGGCTTGTCGACGTATTTACTTTAAAACTAAACATATTTAGACGTTTTCTTTTCGTTGCCACCCGTACAACTAACACATAAAATAAATGAAACAAATCGCACTTCAAAATAATGTTTGGTTTTCCTGAAAGCTGGTTTGAAATAAAAGCTAATTATTAATTGACTTAATCGGCTAGAGACAATGCAGATCAAATGTGCGCTAACTACAGTTCATAGGAATCTGTGCAGTAAGAAGTTCCACGTAATTTCACAGATGGCGATATAAAACATTTGTTATTTGTATTATTGTAACAGTTGAAACCGAACAGGGCCATAATAAATGCAATTTTTATGCGAGCGTTTTGAAATTTAATTAAATAATTCGATATATTATTAACAAATGTAGTTAAAAAATGTTTATTTGCGAATGAAGTTTTACTTACTGCCACACTTTGTAATTATTCGTTTTAATTTTAATAATAAATACCTATTGCTCTGTCTTTATAAATAAAACAACACTTTTTACCAAAGTTTAATACTTTTGGCTAAGTTTATACGAGTATATGCGTTTCTCCCTAGGTACTTTTTAATATTTTGTTTTCTCTAAAAAAAACAAGTCAGAAAGTCTTTATAGATGTCTATTTGAAATTTTGAAAAATGAACCTTGTAAGGTAATGAAGTATGTACAGGATGGGCCACCAGTAACTCTTTGGTCTGTAGAGCCAAAACTATTTTTTTTTTTTTAAATTTGTTTTCACAAGATGTGTGTCCGAAAATATAACAATTTAAAAATAATTTTAATCATACAGGGTTCTCCAAAAAAGTGAAACATCAAAGTTAGGTTTTTTAAATGGAATGCCCTTTATTTTATATTTGAATTGCCCTTGCTTTCTCATTATAACAATACCAAATAGTATGAGATTATACAGAGTATACGCTAATACCAATTTTATATGAAAATAGTATTGATCTCAATGATCTGTATACTGCAAAAGAAACAATTGAAAACCAATCTTTTGTGGAAAAATATTTTCAATATTAGTCTACACTTTATGCCGATACACTATTTTTTAATTCGAAACAAATCTGTATAGGGTAGGTCAAAATTCAAATACCTACATACTTTTCTCATTTTTTTTTAATTGAATTTTATTACACAAGCAATTTTTATTTGACGAATTTTTTTCTTAAAGCGTAAATAACAGATATATTCCTTAAAGTAGAAAAGCGACTCTATAAAGTTCCTCTAGACGATCCGAATATGCCTAAAATCTTATCAACTCATTGGAGGATGGATAAAAGCTTACATTTTTAATTTATTGTTTTTCTCTGCATACATTTTTGAGGTATCATGGATACACACCACACAGACACCTACATACACGTATGGACTTTTTTTTGACATTTTTGCATGAGGGATATTTTTGGCATCAAGGGAGTTTTTATATAAAATCAAAATCAAAAGAGAAAGAAATTGGGATATATACAATTCAATGTACGCTCATTAACCCTCTAACTAGAATGAAGATATATAATGCTTGGCATTCTATATTATACTCTTCACAGTTTAACAGACATCCCTTAACCCCCCATTTTTATTCAGAAGCAGTAGGCTTTATCCCCTTATAGAACTCGATATATCACTTTTCTGTTTTTATTTCTGACTTTTTATTTATAGGTTCGTCTTCATATAGAGCTTGATTTGTCCTGAAAATTTCAAGTTATCGTTCTCGTTTTTGATTTAGGATTTTTTTTTATTTCAACTGCGGTTAAGATTTTTTGAAGAATCAATAGTGCTTGATTTTTCCTGAACATTTCAAGTTGATATCATTTTTCATTTTTAACTTATCTTGCAGACAAACAACGTGACATCAGATGGACGGACGGACATTTTTAAAAGTGGTTTAAAACTTGATAAAAAGGATTTTGATAGAAAAATTTGGATTAATATTAAACATTTTGATTTTTTGAAAGTAAATCTATACTACTCTTAACAGACTTCTGTGTGAAGAGTATAACTAGTTTCACACATATTATCCATGTTAAACATTTACACGGAAGAGAAAAATATACATTACAAACTAAAAGACTTGCGGGGTTTACGGTGCTTTTTTAAGGTATACTATAAATTACAAAATACTACTAAACCGCTTACGAGACAAAACTTAATTTGCCTTAATTCTCAATCCTAACGATTGCATGCAGATACGATTACAATTAGAACACAGCTACGTCATAACCATTACTTCGAATATTATCTATAACTTTCAATAAACAAAAATTAAGTAAGTTTTTAGGTGTAAAACAATATTTCCTATATTTCTATAATACCTACCTATTAACACTCCACTAAATCCCCATTAGGCTGCGATAACCAATTAATTACGTTGCCAAATGATGACGTAGCTGTGTTCTTCTAATTGTAATCGGACGCTACAATAATACCAAGTTTAACAATTCTTCCAAATTATCCTGAGTTCGGCTAAAAACATTTGTCTAACGCTTGCCGATTGTCAGTTATGAATGCAATGGTTTGTATTTTATTTCTACCTGTAGTCGTTTTGAAAACTGTCCGTAAATATTTAAATAACTTTCGCTATTGCACCACTAAAATTGTGAATACGCCAGGCCAACGTAAATGGATTATATACATTCTTATGTCGCATTTAAATTAAATAGCCGCACCATGCAATTTTTAATCTTCTTCGAAAATCTTTGTACCTTTTCTTTTTTATTATTTAAGGTCCAACACCCTTCTTTTTTTTGTTGGAATAATCTGTTAATGAATAGTGTCACCCAAATCTGGAACAATTGCATAAAAACCCCTATCGAGACGCTATTAACAGCCCATGTTCTGTATTTCACACAATGTTAAATAAAATTATTATAAAATAATAAGATTACAAATACAATTTTTATACCAATAATTCAGTAGACTAAAATAAATAAAAAAATCATGAAATAGCAAGACATCCAAATTTAGTTTTTCTGTCTTTAAAGTCAAGCGTTTCCCTGGATAAATATTACTTTATCAAACCAACAAAAACAAACATTTAACACGAGATTCCAAATGCAATTTTTATTCCAAAGACCGAAAAAACATATGTAATGATTTATTGTATTTTTTAATGATACTAATGTACTGAATCATTCGTAATAAAAATTATATCTCGATATTCGTGCTGGTTTTTGTCATTTGCTAAAATATAGTTTATCCGCGAAACCTCGTCTTTTTAAAACGTATTTAGAGGTCTTGCTCTGTAACGGTTTATTGTGTACTAAAAATGATATCTGGAATTTCATGCTAAATATTGGTTTTAAATATTTTGATTAAGTG